TCACGCGGATCCACTCAGTCTCTTTTGCCAGATTTTCTTCATCAGTAAAGAATTCAGTGGGCTTAGTTGCATTGTTAATATTGCTAGGCATACTTTCTTCTATTCCTGTATATTTTTGATTAAATCAACAGTTGTTTTTACGATTTTATCTATCTATCGTAGATTTGGAGCAACTGCACCTTATCAACAAGATTATTTCTCTCCAGTTCTTCCTTCTGTGACCTTGCGGCACTATTGGTAAAGTACCATTTTATTTCTATCACTATCAATTGCTTTTATAAATATTTTTATCGGCGATTTTTTATTATTTTTAATCATGCCTACTAATGTTTATATTTTGGTTTCGTCATGTTAGATTAGAATAAATATCAAAAATGCGTGAGTTATATCTGTGTAACTTAAAAGAGATTTTCATTTTAATTCCATTTTTTTTTTAAACATACTGTATAAACAATTGGAGAAAAAATTATGTTTCACACGGCAGAGAAACAGATTTACTGCCTTTGCTAGTTTCATTGCTTCGGCTTCGCTTCGGCAATCTAATGCTAGCCGCGGCAGAAAATATGTTGCTTCTTTGCCTAGTTAAACAAATAACTATTTTAAAACTTTATATTAGTTTACTTATTTTTGGAGTATTTGGGGTATAAAGTGAATAATTACAAGTTACAAGGTTAAATAAAATTCCATTAATTTAATTGAATTTTGTTTAATATGACCCTCTCATCCCTTTACAGTGATTTTGTTAATTTTTTTAGGTTGTATTTTATAGTTTTTAACAATATGGCACTAATTTTTTATTTCAATACCGAATCGTCTTCTTAGGCAAATTAATTTTTAAATAGATTTTTAATAGAATTGTATTTAATTTGACCCCCTCGTCCCCTTCCTAAGTGATTTTGTTAATTTTTTTAGGTTCTATTTAATTTGGCAGTAATTTAATTTCAATACCCAACTGTCTTTATATGCATTTTTAACTAGATTTTTAATGTTTTATTATTTGATTATTTAATTTGACCATCTCATCCCCTTCCTAAGTGATTTTGTTATTATTTTTTTTAGGATGTGTTTAATAGTTTTTAACAATTTGGCACTAATTTGATTTCAATACCCAATTGTCTTCATAGGCATATACATTTTTAAATAAATTTTTAATTGAATTTTGTTTAATACGACCCCACTCATCCCCTTCCTAAGTAATTTTGTTAATTTTTTTAGGATGTATTTATTAGTTTTTAATAATTTGGCACTAATTTTATTTCAATGTCAAATTGACTTCATAGGCAAATTAATTTTTAAATAGATTTTTAATAGAATTGTATTTAATTTGACCCCCGCATCCCCTTCCTAAGTGATTTTGTTAATTTTTTTAGGATATATTTAATTTGGCAGTAATTTAATTTCAATACCCAACTGTCTTCATATGCACATTTTTAACTAGATTTTTAATGGAATTTTGTTTAATATGACCCCCTTATCCCCTTCCTAAGTGATTTTGTTAATTTTTTTTAGGGTGTATTTAATGGTTTTTAACAATTTGACACTAATTTTATTTCAATACCGGGCAAAATAATTTTTAAATAGATTTTTAAGTGATTTTGTTATTTTTTTTTTTTTTAGGATGTATTTAATGGTTTTTAACAATTTGGCACTAATTTGATTTCAATACCCAATTGTCTTCATAGGCATATACATTTTTAAATAAATTTTTAATGGAATTTTGTTTAATATGACCCCCTCATCCCCTTCCTAAGTGTTTTTGTTAATTTTTTTAGGTTGTATTTTATAGTTTTTAACAATTTGACACTAATTTTATTTTAATACCGAATTGTCTTCTTAGGCAAATTAATGTTTAAATAGATTTTTAATAAAATTGTATTTAATTTGGCCCCATCATCCCCTTCCTAAGTGATTTTGTTAATTTTTTTAGGATATATTTAATTTGGCAGTAATTTAATTTCAATACCCAACTGTCTTCATATGCACATTTTTAATGGAATTTTGTTTAATATGACCCCCTTATCCCCTTCCTAAGTGATTTTGTTAATTTTTTTTAGGGTGTATTTAATGGTTTTTAACAATTTGACACTAATTTTATTTCAATACCGGGCAAAATAATTTTTAAATAGATTTTTAAGTGATTTTGTTATTTTTTTTTTTTTTAGGATGTATTTAATGGTTTTTAACAATTTGGCACTAATTTGATTTCAATACCCAATTGTCTTCATAGGCATATACATTTTTAAATAAATTTTTAATGGCATTTTGTTATTTTTTTTTTAAGATGTATTTAATGGTTTTTAACAATTTGGCACTAATTTAATTTCAATACCCAATTGTCTTCATATGCAAATTTTTAAATAGATTTTTAATTGAATTTTGTTTAATATGACCCCCTCATCCCCTTATTTTTTTGTTGCATTTTATATTTATTGACAATTTGGTCCTATTTTTATTTCAATATCCTTTTATCTTTATAGAAAAATTGATTTTTTAATGAATTTTTAAAGGATTTTTATTTCAGTTTACCCCTTCATCCTTTCTCTAAACACTTTATATTTGTTTCCTAAAAATTTAGTAGTAATTTTATTTCAATACACTGTTTTCTTCACAGAAAAGTACATTTCGACGCCACTGGTAATTCGAGTGTTTCCGGTAAACCGGCTGCTAACTTCATACCGGTTATGGATTCCAGTTAATGCTATTATAAGTCTCCGGTTTTCCGTGTGATTTCCCAAATACATGTAAATATTTAATAAATCAAAATCCAAGTGTAATAAAAAATATCCAATATTTTTTGTGCATAATTTCAAATTTTATTAAATGATTTTGTCGATCTGTAATTTAAACAAAATACTGTTTTTGTAGAAATTGCAAGACGTTAACACGGTCATTGTCAAATGAAACTTTTATCTTGATATTTTATATTTGTTATCTACAATAGCTTAACATAAACTTCTTTACTGCTACGCATTTTATAAACATGTTACGCAATATTAGACCACATTACAGAGATATTGCAATTTTCTATAACGTCAGCAACTAATAGTGACGACGTAATTAGAGGCAAATAAATTCCTTGCTAAAATAACACTCATTGCAAACCTGAAATTTTGACATTAGAGTCATTGTCCTTATACATACTTCTAACCTCATAATAAAAATTTTAAATTACAGTTCAACTTTTTTGTTGTCTATAATTGTACATAATATTGAAGAGGCATTAGAAATTATAATTTTAGAAGGTTTAGATGACGATGATATTAAATATTTAATATTAAAAAACTTCGAACGGATACGAATGTCGGCGAGCGCACCCGAAAGCTATAAAGTCGCCACAACCTGCTGCTCTTCAACATCCATAATTAAAGACAGTTTCAATCTTGAATAAAGTCAGTTTTAGAACATACACGATCTGCGCATGCTTAAATGTCAAAATAAGAGCGACACTAATAGTCACTGACCTTAAGTGAACTTGCAATAGAGAGTTATTAGAGTTATTGCAAGTTCACTTAAGGTTCACTTCAGGTTTGCAATAAGTCTCATTTTAGCATTGAATTTATTTGCCACTAATTAAGTTGTCACTATTAGTGGCTGACGTTATAGAAATTTGCAATATTCTCTAATAACTCTCTATTACTTTAATTTAGTATTAGATTTAAATAGGTCTGTGAGCCATGTGGCCTACCCACTTCGACCTTTTCAGATCTATCTAATATAAATAATCTAGTATAAAAAGTTACTCAAATTAATTATTAAATATAATGATGAATTTTTTTGCAATTATAAAACGTAACGTAAGAACTAGAAAAACAAAAATAATCAAACTTGTAAACAACTTGTAAGTAAGAAAATCTATAAAAAAAATATTTTGGACCTATGACAATATTTCTTTATAAAACAAACAGCATTAAAACGATTACAACTGTAACCTATGTTACTGTTGTTCAAAATGACGTAAAATAAATTTGGTCATAATTCAATGTTTTGCATATTTAATTTTGCCAATTTTATTTATATAAGGTTGCCAGACGTCACGCTTTAGGCGTATTTGTCACGCTTTTTGACTTGCTTGTACGCGTAACGTCAAAGTACGAAAATGTTCCGCTTTCGATCAAAATGCCACGCTTTTTAATATTCAAAGTCCTTCCTACATGAAAAGGAGGAACCGAATTTATATAAAAAAATATAACCGTGAAGACCTTTTTTTTTTTTGAAAAATTTCGGCTAAACGACCCTCGTTTTCGAAAAATACAAGCTGATGACATTTTTTATTTAGGGTAGCTGTTAAAGATGGAACCAAACCTATAGTGCTTAAACGGTTCAACATACAAAACCCAAAATTTCAGAATTTCAACTAAATATATTTGCGCATATTTTAGCCCAAAAATTATTTTTTTTATAAATACAAAATTTTAAACATGGCCACCATCTTGATTTTTTTAAATAGCAACATAGGTCATGTGATATACCATTTGAAAGGGTTTAACACGTTGATTACAAAAATGTATCACACATGAGGTCTTGTGTCAAATGCACAGCCTCCTACGCTCCCTATTAATAAGATCCTTTTTGTTGTGTTTAGACCCCATGTGTGATACATTTTTGTAATCAGGGTGTTAAACCCTTTCAAATAATATATCACATGACCTATGTTGCTATTTAAAAAAATCAAGATGGCGGCCATGCTTAAAATTTTGTAATTATAAAAAAACAATTTTTGGACTAAAATATGCGCAAATATATTTAGTTGAAATTCTAAAATTTTGGGTTTTGTATGTTAAACCGTTTAAGCACTATAGGTTTGGTTCCATCTTTAACAGCTACCCTGTATATAGAAATTTCACAAAAAATGGACCTGATTATATAAAAATTCTTGGTATCCGAACCTGATACCCTGTCGTCACGGTTGTCACGCTTTTCACTTTCGTAAATCTGGCAACCCTATTTATAACCCATTTATTTTGTTTTAACCAACTTTTACTGCTACCATTGTTACTTACCTCAGGTTTATTGTGAGTATCTACATCCAAAGGCGAAGCGAATTGGCAAATCAAAGTATTTTCTTTCTTAATAACTAAAAGAAAAATATTAGACGTTAAAGCATCTAACCTCTAAACTATTGTGTACGAGGATAGTTCACGAAGCATAGAAGCAAACACATGAGAAGAATGAAACTAATTTATTAACCTTTTTGAGAAAAAAAAAAAAAACTTTGAGCCATGCATCTACCGCCATCGCTTCGTTATCATCAGCAAAGCGGATTCCACAAAGATGTTCTTTTAATTTTCGAATATATGGTAATCGCTGGAGACCAAATCTGAAGAATAAGGGGGTCGTTCAAAAATTTCAAATTCCGCATTGTGAATGGCAGCCATTGCAACACAACTTTTGTGGGCCGGGGCGTTGTCCTGGTGAAAGAGCACATCTCGACTCAATTTTCCTCTACTCATTTCTCTGATCGTTTGGCGTACTTTTGGTATTAAATTCGCATAATATGCGCCTGTTATGGTGCGCACACGTGGTAAATAATCCACGAAAATAACACCTTCAAAATCCCAAAAAACTGTAGCCCTGATCATACCAGCTGATAGGACAACACGAAATTTTCGAGGGGGAGGGAACCCCTATGCCGCCATTTCATGCTTCGTTTTGAGGATTCTGGATCAAAGCAATGAACCCATGTTTCGTCGACGTAAGACATTTTCGCTTAAATTCCTATTAATGATCTCCAAATTTGTATCCGATGTAACCTGGCGAACACGCTTCTGATCTGCCGCAGCATTCGTGGAACCCAACGAGAAGAGTTTTTTGAGATCCAATTCCTCATGTAAAACAGAAAACCTACATGTCTCTGCTATAGCCTTCACTGTACATCTGTCATTTATTACCATGTCATGAACTAAATTCACATTTTCTTTAGTCACCACAGTTTTGGGGGCTCCTACACTTAGTGCATGTTGACAGGACTCTCTTCCCAGTTTGAAATCTCGTGACCAGTTCTTGATTACCTGGTACGAAGGGACAGAGTCAGTCAATACTACTACCATGTCGTTATAAATTTCTTGCGGTAATAACACTTTTTTTTACAGAGTTACTTTATCGCACCCCTTATCTCAATTTTTTCAATTTTTTTAAAATCACGCACACCTCAATGGACAAAAAATTAATATTAAACATATATACGAACTGATGCGCTTATGCTAATTGGCACACACCAATGTCAAACAATAAGCTTTTGCCTGATACTCCATTTGCATTTGTCATTCAACGCCAACCATGTTAGGGACAATAAATCGTGAACTATCCTCGTATATAACACGTGAAAGGGCATCTTATTTGATAATTTGTTGGAACAAAGCTGACGAAACCAAAATGTGAACGTGTCAAAAATTAATGGTTTTAATGAAGACAATGCTTTCGTAGAATATATCCGTCAATCGTTTTGGAACCGCCTGTGAAACCCTGAGAAGAAACATTATTCCCAGGATCTCTTACTCAACAGCTCAGATGCGTTTAAAACAAGCTGGTTTAAAAAAACTATACTGCTGTCCGGAAAGTTTTTTTAACTCCAGAAAATAAGCGCAGGAGAGTTCAGTTTGCAAATAAATATTCATTTCACCTGAAGGAATTTTGGAGTAACGTGGTATTCTTCGATGAAAATATGTTCTGATCTTCTAAAAGCAGAAGGCTACGAATTTGTCGTAAAAACTTAGGGTTCTAAGAGAATTATAGAAGTTTTTTTTGTTTTGGCTGGGATCAATACGCGTGTGCTAAGCAGCACCCCGCAGCGTGCTGTGGTCGTCATAAGTAAAGGTTCCGAGTAAAAGAGGAAGGGGGAATATTCGAGAAATGTCATTCCACGTCAAGAAAAATCTGGACAGTTCGAGAAGGTTAAAACAAGCTACATAAGTCGATGATCCTGACGTCAGTCAGTCGGTTTTACGATAAACGTTTTACGTTAATGTTATCAGTTGTATAGTTATTGTAAAAGTTGAATTGAAATAAAGTGAGATACCAAAAACCGACGTGTTTAGTGAAAACGTCACAGGTTGAGGTAAGTCATAGCACTGGAGTGCGCTTAGAAACCTCGCACAGCGCGCCTAGACCCTATTCTAATGTATGTGGCCAGACGCGTCTTGCGACGTTTCTAAACGCACTCCTGGATGCCAACAAAGGAACCATACTGTCAAATATGTTAAATAATTAAATTGCTTTCATTTTCAAAATTATGCTATAATAATTTCAATGACCGCTGAGGTATTCTTATGGACATTAATGATAGTTGACAGTATGGTTCCTTTGTTGGCATCCAATGCTATGACCTTCCTGAACCTGTGACGCGCACTAAACAACACGTGTATTAGCCAGACTTTTTTACATTTAAATTAAATTTGTATGCTTTCAATGTTAACTTGTACCGATTGAATGAATATAGTGGTTGGTTTAAGTGGTTAATAAAACTGTATATAATTGTGTAGGTTTTATTCTTTTCTGTTGATTTTAGTCCCCAGTACATCGACCTTTGGATTTTGTAACTCCTGTATACGCAAAGCTCCTCTATTTACATTTAAAACCCGGTCATACATTGCAAAGAAACGTAGCGCGTAGCTATTTCGTAAATGAACTGAATGTGTTTCCTGGTGCGCTTTCATATTTAAAAATAGTTTTTACCTATAACTCACTAATAGCAACAAGTTTTATTAATTAGAATAATTTCGAGATATATTGCGACACATCAAGCGTCCCCACCAATTCATTTTCGTACCTAGTGCAGTGTTTCCAACTCCGACGCATTGTGGGCCGAGATGTTGCAATATTTCCCGAAACATTTCTAATAGTAAATCTCTAAATAAAATGATTTGTAACAAAACAAAAAACGTATAAAATGTGTGCAAAGTACATTAATATAGTTTAACTGCTTTCAGCAGACTTGATATTTTAGCAGCACCTATTTTTACACCTTTAGGCAAGGCATTTTTGTACCTATCGTTTTTACATACATACGCTTGCTAAATAACAACTTTGCAAATACTAAGATAAACTATCGCAAACACCATTATTATTCCTGCAAATAAATGCAAGGATTTTAAAAGCGTTAAACGTGACACCACCGCAATTTAAAATAACTTTGTTTCATTCATACTATACGTCACGGACGTCACGTATAGTATTTTATCCATCGATAGTTTGCGACGTTGCGATCCAGTAAATTGTTGCATATTGGGTGTTTTTGTTAATCTTTAGACTTTTTTGGAAAAATTTCGGCTTATGTACAGCTAACAACATGGTTCGCGAGTGCATTTTGAACAAAAAACTGGAAAATGTGGGTGCTGAAGTATCTTTTCATAATTAAGGTTAGATGATGATGTATTGCATAGTTCAGTGGTGCAGATTTAAATATTTTTGCCGTAATATCACTTGTATTACCTACTTTTATATTACTATTATTTTCTTTGATCTTTCAACATTATTAATTTCGCAAAAAATTGTAATTAATAGAAAAACTTTAGTCTGGACTATAGTGGTAAAATAAATATGTCTATGCTTGATTTTTAGGTTCCTAACTGAAAGGCATACAAGAAATATTTGGCTATCTCTTGTAGGACTTGAAGAAAATAAAGGTACCTAAAAAAGAGTGTTATGCTCGGAGCATTTTGATCCTGATGATATTCTTCAAAAAGCAAATATCTCAAGCCTGGAGCACTGCCAAAACTAAGTTCATTGTTTCGAGAAAGGTCATTTAGGTAACTAAAAACTTTCTTAATTATGTTTCGGAAATGTTCATTTAAGTGTTTATCCTTTAAGATGAAAGTTGGTAGTTTATCGTACAAATAAATTTTTATATTGTAAGTTCTTTGAATTTTGTAGGTGCTTAACAAGGACAAACATTTTTATAAACTCATATTACATGTCTCTTTCTTTGATTATTTTCATGAACTACTTTATTATTAATCAAAATGTATACTTACCTTTACATTAAAAGTTCTGAATACTCTATTACAGCTCTGATTCCAGTATCAGTATTTTTGACAGCTCTAGTAAGAAACCAGAAGATAATTTATCTATGCCGCACACATTTATGGATGATAATAAGTAAGTTAGTTTACTGCCTAGTTTTACAAGTTAAAAACTATCAATGGATAGGTTTATTGTTGTACAGTTCTACGTGTTTTCGGATTTTACAAAATTCTTATTACCAGATCCGCTATAAGAAGCGTTCCATTTAAAATCCCCACCTTGTATATGAGTATGGTAAATTTATTGATTTAATAACTTTTATAAATTTAGTAGTGTTAAAAATCTAAATTTTGATTTAAAAATATCTCATTTACCAATTTGTAAAACTGTTCAAATTTTAACCCCAAAATTGAATTCGTAAATTTGTTTAAAATAAATCTTGATTTATTTATGTTGTTTTTATTTTATTTATTTTATTTAAGTGAACATCTTTATATGTAATAAATGTATTATTCTTGGAAAAAAATATAGTGTTTTTAACTTTTTACCTACATTCCACTGAACTTCATACCTTTATACCAAATCCAATCGGTTTTAAAGTTTAAACCATTATAAAGTTTTTTGCACACCATATCGGTAAGTATTTAATTATTTTTTTATAATTAGTTATGATTTTATCTTTAATAAGATACGCCACTGGTATTAACAGACTTTTAGTTGCGTATAACAACAGCGTTGCCAGACGAGATTTTCGATTACAGTCTTCTTTCGATCTGCATAAAATATCTTCTTTCTCTTTTCCGATGATTGAGACCAAACAAAACATACTTTATGAATGAAATGCATCATCTGTTGTTTCTTTTATCTAAGTGTATACGCAAATCTTTCTGAGCAGCTTTATAACACCAAGTCTGACAAATTTTTTTCATATACTTCACCCTGGGCGATGGGACATTTTCGCGCTACCTCTTCGTGAAGTTGTCGTTTTGGCGCCCCTAAGGAAGTTGATACATGTACGTGTAGTTTTAATGTTATTCGACGGTTATTTATATAACATTAACGAAATCACATTTGTCGGACAAAAATCACGTGGCTTTGGGGGAATCCGACACCCTCAACATGTCGCTGTGGCGTCCCTAAGGAAGTTGATACATGTATATCCGGCAAAAATAATAATGAATAACAATGTACTTAGCAATGGTATTCAGAATTCTTGTGTTGGTAACTTTCTTTTGCCTAGGGTGCTTTTTTGGTGGTGACTTTAGAACTTCACTGTTCTTTACAGCTTGGGAAATAGAACTAGCAGTAGAAAAATTGAGATTAAGTGCTTCTGCGACACACAATATTAATTTGAGGGTGATACATTATTAATCAACTCACTTCTCTTACAGCTGTTAAAGATAACAAAGGCCCATAATTATCACCTTCTTTCTCAAAATAATTTATTAGAGAAGCCACTAGTTCCTTGCAGCGACTATTTAATTGTTTTGGTATTTTTCAATGAAAAAATACACAATAAACGAACACCACTATTAAATTCCTAATAAATTTGTTCTAAAAAGAACAGTTTGTTAATAATTTAATCTAAAATACAAATAATTTGTTGAAAAGAAATCGATCGATGCAAAATAATACAAAACAAATAACAATTGACAATGTATTAAAATTGAAAGCTGACACATTTGATGCCAACTTTTATTATGAAATTCACTAGAAAGTATTTCGTTAATAATCTGCCTACAGTACATTTACTACTGTGATATGATAAAAAATACATTTTTATTATGCAATTTTATAAAAATGAACTCCATGCGCCTAAATTTATTCATTTAATTGCAAAATAAAATTTAATTATTTTTATTAGTGTGTGTGGTACCAATGACTGTCACTGACGTCATCTCGGACGTGCATCGGTTTTTATATTGAATGCTCTATAGACATCTACAACCGAAGCACAGGGACGGATCTAATTAGTTGTTTGTTGTATGTTATGCTTTAATTAAAATTATTATATATTTCAAGTGGAAATGTTATACGCATTTAAAAATTATCACATTATTTGCATAATTTCCTAACTTTAAATAGGTGTTTCATTTTAGTTTAGTTTTACAAGACAAATTAATCCTTAATAAATATTCGCGACTTGTAATCAAAATCACCATGAAACTATATTATTTTCATCTACTATTTATATGATTTAATTGAAGTATTTAAATATCACATTGAATATTAAAAATCAATGTAGGATGTTACGAAAAATGCTTGAACAACTGTTATTTGTATCATTTTATTATAAAAAAATTTAAAAGAATTTGGAATGTATTAATCTGGCTTTAATTTCTAAAGTGATTAAAGCACGCAAGCCTTCTCACCATATCAAGGTTACATTCCTAGAAAAGGAAAACAGGAACAATATCATGTTCCTTTCCAAAATAACGTAAACCAACAGAATGAGCCGGAAATACTCGATGATTATTTTCAATTTTGGTAACATGGAGAACACAATTGGGCCATAATTCTTGAGATATTCCTCCAACAATTTCTCTGATAACATCTAAAACGCTTTCAGACAACGAAGGATTAACATTTTTTTTTCTGACCTTCCTTTTGATGTTACTTCAAATTAATTTTATTGCATTAAATGTTCAATAATATGGTGGTAAGCGTATTGCGGTATGACTGAATGCCATAGCCATATCATACACAACATAGCTATGTTTGAGATTTAAGCCTTTCAATATTGTAAGCAATCTTTTTTTAAAACTGTAGGTGAATATGATACACCCATTCTGTCAAAAAACGCGGAAATTACCTCTTTTCTAGTTTTTTGCTTTTGGAATTTCACTAGTTTGACAATAGTGGTAGGGGGCATTATCCATTACTATTATAGCATTTGGTGGCAAATTAGGAATTAATTGTTCACCAAACCATTTATTGAACAAGGTAGATGTCATAATGTTGGTGATAATCTGCTGAATAACTCAAAATATTGTTTGCTGATAATAGCAAGCAATTCGGAACAAAAACCGTTTTCATTACCGGCATATAATATTATAATACGTTTTCCTCTATTTGAAGGAGCCTTTACAGAACTTTAGCAGATTAATCACCATCCTTTTTTTCACAGTATCATGAGTGTCGTACCAAGTCTCATCAAGATACGCTATGAATCTATCTTGCCGACGAGCTTCCTTTATTTTAGTAAGGTATTCATTACTTAAAATCATAATTCTTTGCGATTCCATAATATGCTGTTTTCTATTTAAGGTACGATATCTTAAACATACAGAATGGAGCACTTTTCTAGTGGTTTTATCAGATTCGTAAGGGAAACCAGGAACCAACTTGATATCATTTTTAATCATTTGAAAAGATGGTACAATATTATTAGAATAAAAATCATAAACCTTTCTTCTAATATTTTCCATCATGCAGTGATCTAGACTTACTAGAGACGTTTAAGTCCGCTTTTCTCTTGGAAAACATTTCTGAATTATAATAACTTTTATTCACAAACATAAGTTTATTCACAAACCTAGTCCAATCCTGTCGGTTGTATTTACAGCCACTTGTACTGCATTGTGAATCCACAGCTGTGGTGAATCGTTGATCTGCCAACGAGTTAGTCAAGACGCAGAATGTTTAAGAGTACATTCAACACGATGACGAAAGTGGATATACAAAATTTTCTAATGGACAATGATTTGTATTTTTAAGACAGCTATAAGAAACAAGAACTTCTTATTAAAGTTTTACGGACGAAACAATTTAAAAAAGTATACGCCATAGATAGTATTGCTGAATATCATGGTCATGGACATACTGTATTGAGATTTCCTATTATTTTTGTATTTTTAATAGGATATTAAACCACATACTTTAGTGTCGTTTACCTTATCGTTCATCAATTAAATTAAAATTTCTTCATTTTGCAGTATTGAGGATTAATTTCAATTATTTTAATCTAGAAACGAGCGGCTGACGAGAAAAATACACGATGCCGTATTGATGTAGAATTGACCAGTCAAATGAGTAAAAATATTAAGATGGAAAAATGTCAGTGGCGTACTACTTTTTTTGACATGTTTGCAGAGATGCCACTGGTAGAGCAATAAAATAAATTTTCTAACTAAAATATGCGGTTTTATATCCTATTAACACATGCCAAAATTGAAAATTATATCTAAACTATTATATTAAAAAATATATCTTTAAAAAACAAATTTTCAACTGCCTGTAGCAAAAAATTGAAGCCGTTGCGGACATTTGTTCATATGAGTTTTTCTTCATAAAATAACCTGAGGAATCACAACCTACAATATTAGCTTACCAATAATATACCCTGTATAAATTGTAAAAACAGGGAAGCAATTTTTAATTTTTAAAAAGTAATTCTAGATCAGTTATCTTTGATCAGATAAAATGTTTATCAGAAACCAATTTTAGTCGAAATCTGCTGACTTTTAAAAATAAATGTATTTTTAATTGCTCACCCTCTATAAATCTGATCGGAAGTATAACCGGTTTTGAGTCAAGAGGAAGCCTTACCTGCATACAAAATTTGAAGTTTTTCTTCTAAGCCGTTTTTGAGCTATTGCGCCAACAGACAGACGGCAGACAACAGACGGTGGACAGACCGACGGAATGGCGAAACATGTTTTTCGTAATCTAGGGACCCGAAAATGTTCACGATTACAATATCGAGGGAAGTAAAAATAAAATAAGTATACTCAATCTCTTGAATGTTCCTCTACTAATTTAAAGGTGATGTATTAGTCCCCTTAGTTTTTTTTTGGTATGTTGCCGGCTGGCTTTAAAGCTTTAAAGTCACACTATATCGTTTGCTTATACCATACCTTTATCAACTTCCTTAGGGACGCCATAACAACAACTTCCCGAGTAGTTAGCGCGAAAATGTCCCATCGCCCAGGGTGTACTTAAAAAAAATTTGTCCGACTCGGTCTTATGAAGTCGCTTAGGAAGTTTGACGGTACAGGAGTTACAAAATCCAATCGATGTACTGGGGGAACTATTTTGTTCTGTTTTTAATCGCAATTTTTTTACGTATTTTTTATACATTTTTTTTTTCATCTGTAAACTCACGTATTTATTTATTTGCCAAAATGACTCAAACATATTGTGTTAGTAGTTTACAATTTCATTTTACAGCGTATCACATGTTTGTATAGACACGAATATACAGTATCTGCTATCAAACACTTTCCAATACGTCTTTGCAGAAGAGCGTGTGAAAACTACAGAGTTAGCAATAGAGCGAGCAGAAGAATATCAGCGATGCCAGTTTATACGGCCTGACCAACTTTACAACGGGGAATATCTATATGATCGAAGACAGGAATGAATTTAAGTAAGAAATTTCATGATAACCAAAGAGTGTTTACATTTGGGTTGCTCCAACTGTACCTATTCTGTTTGTAAATAATTACTTTTAAATATCAGACTAGAAGCTATTTGAAAACGATATTGTACAGTTCAAGAAATGTAATTAAATTGCTGGTATTCTATAGGTATTATTTTTTTTATGAGAAATTTACTTACACTGCAAATGCCAGCACCTCCAAATAACATTATTTAGACGAATTTTATCTTTCCATCTAAGTCTTATTCCTCGAAATCTATTCCATTTCGGCGAGGTCAGTTTTTGTCTGAAATTAAAAAAAAACAAACGTAATTACAGTTTTCTTAATATAATACTTTGCAGATAGTCAATAGCCATTTGTGTAACAAGAACGTAAAGTGGTAAACTGTCTCCTAAAATAAAAATGTTATTTGTTACACCTTGCGCCGCCCAGCATTGTATTTTACGCCAACCCTGAAGAATGAACCCATAAAGTTGAAATATACAAAACGATTACGTCGCCCCCTTGTGATGTATGAGCATTGTTCAAAAAAGACAAGCATTTTTTAAGATACTTTAATTACTTTCTTCATGATCCACCCCGTATAAATAATATAACATAATACTGTATAGTTAACATAATAATAACAATATATTTCATTATTCAATCTGTAGTTTACATTACCTAATTTGATAATCTTACATAAAATAAAAAACATGTTTCAATTACATATATAATAAACTAAAATCAAAGACAACCCTGGTAACGTACTCTCAAATATCAAAAAAAAAAAGCATCCGTATGTACCATATTTTGTAATTTTGTCTGCAAATAACTCGCCTAAAACTGCCAGTGACATTGCGAATGTGTTTAGCACTCAGGGTAGGAAACAAAACAAATTTTGATGATTTTAAAAGAAAATAGGATTTGCGCATGATTAATAGAGGTTAGCAATAATGGGAATGGTCTAGTGTTTAAATTTTTATTTTTATTGGTTTTAAAGTTGCATTATTGATATTAGCGTCAGCAACTGCTCTGATTTATTTAAAAAATGTCTACCAATTCTTAAGTCTTTATCTTTTATCGTTTCAAATTGCCTTGAGTGGTATTGTGTGAATCGCTAAATAAAGCTAATCATAAATATCATCCATATTGTACAAGGTCTTGAACATCTAAAAAGGCCCCAAAAAACCACTGACATGTGTATTGCATAAGTCTTTATCTTTTATCGTTTCAAATTGCCTTGAGTGGTATTATGTGAATCGCTAATAAAGCTAATCATAAATATCATCCATATTGTACAAGGTCTTGAACATCTAAAAAGGCCCCAAAAAACCACCGACATGTGTAAACTATGCAATAAATGTGATGAAGATACTTTTCACATTAGGTTCTTTCGTTCGCTGTTGGTGTAGTGTCCACCAGTGTAAATTACACCAGTTACACCACCTTATTTACCCTAATTTACTTCCTCCTTATTCCTTATACACATGTCGCGTATAATTAACTCCTGCTTAATAGCTGGTGGGGAAAATATCCACCAGTGTACACCACATCGCCGACAGGAAGGTATAGTGGGTTTTACACCGGGCCAAACGAAAGGTATGGTGTGCGTTGGTGTAGTTCATTAGTACACCAGTGGGACGAACGAAAGAACCTATTCTGTGTGTGCTGAAGCGGTATCCACAGATATGGATAGAGGAGATAGGAAAAGGCCATTTTCCCCGGTGTTTCAAAATAAGCATACCATGTAAGCCGCCATGTTTGCAATTTAAGCGGCTCACGCACTTGCTGTAGTATTTCGACAAAGTGCCATTTATGTCAACTCGTCTTGGTTTTTTTGAAATTCGCTATTTTGGTGAATTTAAAAGAATTTTATTTTTTACTATAGACAATTAATGAAACGGGAAAGGCGTACTTCGTTTTTGATTGTTTAAAACGAGGATTCAGAAAACATTACATTCCATAAGTAAGACATGTTTTCTACCAGAACCGTATTCTTTATTTATCACATTTTTTAGACTATATTTTCTAGAAAACGAAACATCGTAGTACAATAACAAACTTTATGTAGGTATCTAACATTGATATTGTTATAATTTTTTTATATTGAGGAAAAAGCGTATGCTTCTTGGTTAATAGCTATTGGAAGAAATACATTGGAAAATATAAGTGCAAATAACGCTATTTGTTCCTCCCATTTTTATAAAGATGATTTAATCGTTTCAAAACGAAAAGATACAATTAAAAATACTGTAATAACTTCCATAAATCTGCCTAAAATTAGTTATGAGGTAAATATCTATACATAAAATTATATTAGCAATTTGTTTCTTATAATTTTTAAGAAATTCATAAAAAAATTGTTAATTTTCTTTATTATTTTCAGAAATTTACAACCTTCAACTTCAACGAATATTATTAATTCAGAATCTAACAAGGAATTAGAAGTTAATTGCCAGTTGGTTATTTTTTTATTAAGGGTTTAGATGGTAATGAAAGAGCAAATGTGGTGTTCTTCTAAAATTAGAGAATAAAGAGTAGTTATCATCACCTCATTATCAACTGATGAACTTAGAGCTAATTTTACAATGATGACAATATTAGGTGTAAACCTATATAACTTGCATTAGAATATATTCTAGAAACGCAACTAAATATATGCTGTGGTTGGCATACGAAGAGGAAATTCAAATATTGATTCAATTTTCTACTATTATTGTACATGTCCATGCGGTTCGAGAACTTTAAGTACTTGCGCACATGTGGCATCAGTGTTATGGTTTCTTGGACACGCAAGGCACCAAAATAATATTAAATATCCAACAACACGTTTACGAAATAGCATCGATGATGTAGCAGACCGATTATTTCCAGAAAATAACGATCTCGGTCCTAAGTAGAAAAAAATTAATTTGTATTATCTCGTATTTGCACCTAATACTTAACATTAACGTCTTGGTTCAGTTACGTCAGTCATTTGGTCGTTTATCTTTAGTTCAGGCTGTTCCCTTTTGTCTTCTCATATGCCTAACCTCCTATACCTTACAAAGTATCTGAATTCATATCTTTAGTATTTGCAATAAATTCAGTCAAAAACGACGATAAAGTTTCTGCTATTCTAAATATGCCCCCACCTTCGAATGTCACTTCGAATGTAACCCAGCTTCCAAAACTCCTACAAACCTGTTCATGGTTTGGCAAATTCATAGAAAACTTCTCACATGTTGCCAAGCCTCTAATGCTCTTGACAAAGAAGAATTCCAAGTGGTCCAGGGAACCAGACCAAGAGGCAGCGTTCTGTCATATTAAGTCACTAGTGTGTTCTGCCCCAATTCTTTGCCAAGCAGATATTCAACTACCCTACATACTTCGCAGTGATGCTAGCAACTATGCATTGGGAGTATGTCTACTACAGGGGGAGAAGGAAGATGAAAGACCAGTAGAGTCTCCGACTGTATGCGCTCGGTGTTTAACCGACGATGTAATCGTATGGTTCGGAGTACCGCGTCGCGTAATCAGTGACAACGGACCTCAATTTGTTAGTTCCATAGCTATACTAACTAATGATGACCATACCTCGTGGTATGAAAAATTACCCGCGATACGATTCGCGATGAACACAGTAAAGTGCGAATCTACTGGTTATTCCGCCGCGTACCTAACTTTCGGCCGCCAGTTGCGCACCCCTGATGGTGTCAACCGAGATTTCCGTGCCATTGTCGAAGCCGACAATTTCGTATCCCTAATCACACCGTACTTACGAACCCTTAGTCAGATGCTACGCGATCCCCGTGAATCCCATGAACTATCACAAGATCGACGAAACAGAGACAAAGACACCCGTCAAAGTGCGTGTTCATTCGCGGAAGGCAATACAGTGCTAGTAGGCTCTCACCGCCTAAGTAATGCCTCGAAGTCGTTCACATCCAAGTTCGTCGCACCTACTACTTATAAGGTTTCACCCGTCGATAAACCGTAAGTACCACTACCTAAACCAGCCCAACCAATCCGTAAACGAGGCCGACCTCCAAAGTCTGTCTTTGCTGATACTTCTATCCAGACTGACTCAGAAACAGACTCCATTAGTACCTCAGAGAACGGCTCCGACGTGCAACTACCACTGGAGATTGTGTCCGAAGTAACAGTCCCTGGTGTTAATGTTCCGGCTGGCCGTCGTCGAAGGAAAAAGCCCCGATGTCCTTGCTGTCCCGAAGAAGAGGCGGATTTAGTCGCTGTTGCCCCACACGCGGGACGCCAGTGTGGTGCAAAGGGGGAGTATGTAACATCCTAACTCTAGTTCCCGTCCGTAAGGTGGCTGGATAACCGACGAGTCACCAAGTGCCTCTGCGGACGAGGCCAAATGGGAGAAGAAGAGGCGCGGTTCTTGGCGCGAAAACGTGACAATTGACATTTTTATGTTATGTGATTTGACACTTTTGATTATTATATCTTTGGATTTTCCTGTTCACATTTTATTAAAATTAAAATCTTTCTTTACAAAGAATCCCAAATTTTCTTGTAGCCAACCCTACTACAGTTCTGCCAGCTCTGATTTCTTCCCTGTCGTCTCCAGTTCACGTTCTTCTAACTCTCGACGTAACTCCGTCACTTTTAAATCACTTAGTTTTTTAGCCATTATTGTCCACTTTTTATTTACAGTTCCACTTCTAACACCAATGTGACGATTATTTAATTTATTTATAGTTTATTTATATAAAACACACTATTTACAATTTATTTATGACGTACTAATTAATTTACATACTAACTGACATTTCTAATTTATTTATTACAATTTAACTTTTCTGTCCAACACTTTATTCGAATCTACTCGTCCGCCGATAAGTCGCGCTATTTATACCAAGACCAACTCTGCTACGAGAAGTCTCTAGACGATGTGGAATGTCCTAGAATTCCATCTTTATGAATCAACGTCACGTACCGCTTGTTCTGGTATATTCGAGATACGGAGCGTTTGTCTCTATATAATTAATAATTAATAATTAATAATTAATAATTAATAATTAATAATTAATAATTAATAATTAATAATTAATAATTAATAATTAATAATTAATAATTAATAATTAATAATTAATAATTAATAATTAATAATTAATAATTAATAATTAATAATTAATAATTAATAATTAATAATTAATAATTAATAATTAATAATTAATAATTAATAATTAATAATTAATAATTAATAATTAATAATTAATAATTAATAATTAATAATTAATAATTAATAATTAATAATTAATAATTAATAATTAATAATTAATAATTAATAATTAATA